TGTGTTGAAATGACCAACCTCTTATTTCTTCATAGCACTTACATTTACTTTTCAAGAAAATAAGTCCTAACTGTTGTCCCCTTTTTCATGTAATGATAAAATTATCTTCTATATACAAGTAATCTATAACTTGTTTTGTTATTGACAAATCCTTCAAATTTTTATACCATTCACCAAAAGTGAAAATAAGGTAACAGGGCTAAATTTTGAGGAATTCCCATCTGAGTCAGAATTGACGATACAACAGGAATGAATGTGATTGGCTTTGAAATTGATATCATACAACTCCCAAATGCGGGAAAATGAATATGAAGAACAAATATTCAATCCTTTTTAATTATGTTTTTTTATTAACAAGATATGCATACAGATTCGACAATAGGATAACTTTATTTAATTGACATATTTTGGCAAGTCTGACTCGCTATTTCTTTCATTTTGACATTTTGAAATGTTTTTACGTGTACAACAACGTCACACTATTTTATTTTTATAAAGTTCATTGAAGCACAAACAGCGATTATTTATAAAGACGTCAACCAGAAGAGATCAGTAGTATCATCGAAAATAGTAAACATGCTTGGCAGCCGAACAAGATATAAACGTTATAAGTGAAAAAATCATGATCTAGTTGTGAGGCTATCAGAAGTGATGTCAATGATCGTATATATTGGGAGTCTGTTATGAAATGTCAGAAAATATCCAGTATGAAATGTTCAACTCACTATACGAAGGATAATCGGAATAGTCATCCCACCTTTCTCCCTTAACTTATGAATAAAACAAGCTTCCTAAATCCCGATAGGAAACTACTTCTGTGTCTCTTTCAAATTGTTGGTATAATATAAATAACTAAAGACAACTGTGACCATGACGGAGAAAGATACGATATTTCGTTTGAAATGTTACATTTCTAGAACATTCGAAACTATCCTATCGCTTTCTACTTCTCCATTTCTCCTAAAAATATACCCCTTTCAATTCAAAAATTCAATTCAATTTGTTTGATGATACTTAGTTCGTTCTCGAGACCTTCCTTTCTATTCCAAAAGCACCATTCACTAAAGTCTTGATGATTCCTCTATTGGTAGATTGAAGGTGGTTTGATTCGTGATTTAGATACTGTCCCGTGTGAATGGGTTTTCGGTATACAGATGTTTCCAAGTTATTGTGGGTCTTCTTCACCAATACGTCTAAGAATGGCAATTCTTGTGAACTTCCTTCTCCATTGTGAAGGTAATGGAGAGTTTTACTCTGATGATGTACTTCAGAAAGGTATTTAGTTCTGTATTCTCATGGTTCCATACTATGGAGGTCTCGTCAACATATCTCATTCAGACTCGAGGATTCTTGTGAGCTTCTTTAATGGCCAGAGTTTCAAATCACCCCATATATATGTTGGCTTTAACTGGTGGAAGTGGCGATCTCATTGACAGCCCTTCATCTTGCGTAAAGAATTCGTCCTTCAGTTGGAAATAGCAGTTCCGTACACAGCATGCTAGTAGGTCCATAATTACTTATATAGACAAGTTCGTTCAATCATTCAAGTCCTCGTCTTCGGATAGCTTCCTCTGTATGATTTGAGGTGCTTCTTCGACCGGAAAGTTGGTGTAATGGCTTTCTACGTCGAAATTGACTAATTTATCTTGCTCCGTGACTTCGATTGTCTCTAGTAATTAGACAGAATGCTTTGAATTCTTCACAAAAGATGAAGTTTTTCCTTGTAGTGGTTGTATAATTGGAAGTGTAGTGATTGGTCTGAGCGGAACACAATTCTTGTGGATTTTAGGTTATCCACACAGGTGAGGAGCTCACTGTGGTGCGATGTTTGCGATGATTTCTTCTTTTCCGAAAAATAGACTTGGTATCTGGAACAACTTTCTTTCAACATACAATCTTCATGTATTGTTCCTTCCGAAGAACATCGTAGAGATCCATATCTATCACAACAGTAGCGTTTCATTTATCTGCAGGTAGGATTTTGATGGTGTTATCTCTTCATAGGCCGTTCAGAGCTCTTCGTTCTCCATCACTGATGTTAGATGTTGGAACTGGTTCTCGATCCAGCTGTTCTCTGATTTTCCATCTGAATTCCAATAAGGTTGGTCAGACCGAGGCAAATCAAAAAGAGAACATTAATAAATCTACCAATTATATATTTACCACTGGGACAACTCTACAATATCCAGATATACCCCTAGACAATTGTATCAATTGCAAGTATACCACAGTTATATTTATACCAACATTAATGTCAACCAATCAAAAAATCTACACAGTTAAAAGTCTACCACGTTACAATTCTACCAGTTTGAAACTACCACGTGAAAAGTATACCCTAATAATCACTACCATTTACAACAGAATCGAGATCAACCACAAAAATGCCTACCATCTACAGTACTACCATACACAAGACTACCTAAAACAACCCAACTGCATAAGAACTATACCAGAATCAAATTATATCAATGATAAACATCACCTGAAGATATTGATATAATTTGATTCTGATATAAAATAAATATAGACTTAAAAATGTTCCAACTCAGCATATTATGTAGGTGTAGGGCAGCATAATCGCTATTGCACGCGGGCGATCAAACAGCTAGCTAGCCAACATTTCGAAACAGTACTCTAGTTAAATATTTCTATCTAGGAAGCTACAGTGTTAGCGGAACGCGTCTAAAAATAAAAAATTTTCGTGAACATTGTTTAATTATTATCATGGATAAATATTTTTTGCTAACAATGACATCTCCCTCACGAGGACGCCACGTATGAGAAAAGATAAACGAGGCTCTCTTATTCTGTCAGTTGCAAAACCAAGCGTCGACGTCCACGTCCAAATGAAATTTGTCCACTGTCTTTCTCTACAGCTTCTTCACTACAAGGCAACTAGCAGCTGTTTCGAAACAAAGCGGCTCTCCTTTGAACTAGTTGCCTTGCAATGAAAGCTACGAGTACAAAGTTAATCCAAGCTTGGCCTTGCAACTGACTGCCTTTAGGAGCCTCGCTTGGATTCAGTCTTATTGATCCCATGTAGCGTCTTTTCGCCTCAACACACTCAGGCTTGGCCTTTAAGGACAGTTGAGTCCATCAAATGCATTCGTGGTAACTATATTTCCTTTGTTCCCATATAGTTCCCTGTCTTGAACTAATGTAATCAATTTTCCCAATCCATTCTCAAAAAGCAAAATTCAAATATTTATCTAGGAGCAACTTTTTTCACGAAAAATCCAAACAAAACTAATTCCTTCACACTTCTCATTCATACGAAAGAATACTGAAGAACGAACATTGCGCTAGTGGTCAAATCAGTGTTCCCAACTATCAAAAAATATTTTTTCCTAAACTCAAATCAAAAACTCCTGAAATCATAACAATTACAAAAAAATCCCCCTAAAAAATAATATGATTGAAAAAATTATAAATAATAAATTATTAAATTTGAAGGAAAAACCCTTAAGTTGGGAACACTGGGTCAAGGCAGAGTATACATCTTTTAGCATTATACGGTGGTCAAGGCATAATTTATTGCCAGGTGATTGGATCGTTCGTCCGTGTTCGTACAAATTCGGCCAAACTCCACATCGCATATTTCTACCTATAGTACCTACATATTTCAATGAACGCTAAAATCGCTAAACCAATTATGCACTATTTAATTCGGACAGCATGGCTAGATTAGAAAGCTTGTCATCTACATGAGTCCAAATATTAGAGATAATCATTTGTCTTAATATTAGAAACCTGTAGCTTAATCCTGAAAAGTGTGTTATCAATAAGCAATGTTGCAATAATTCTTACATAAAAACATTTCACAAATAACACAAATGAATAGAATATGCTTATTTATCTCACAATGAATGTGGACCTAATTTTTTTACCTAACTGAGTTTGTTCAATGTAGGTACTTTAATAAATAAATACAATAACAAGTATGACTTTCAAAATTAAATATGCTTATTGTTGATAGGTATTAATGACATTAACCGTTAAATAAAATGGTATTCAGGTACAGGTACCATGTACCAGAATACTATGTAATGAATACTAGGTAAATAGTATATGTTGAATATAGCATGAAGAAAATTACTTTTGTCTGATTTCTACTAAGATTTTTATTTGTTACGACCGGTTTGGGTTGTAACATTAACCATTTTAAGTAAAATAGTTTATCTAATGGTTCAGTAAATCGAAACCGATCGTAACAAATAAAAATCTTAGTAGTCCATCTACAACTGGATCTTTTTCATTTCGTTTCATATATATTTTATGAATATCCTATGAAATATTCGAAGCCTCCGGCCCTGCAGCATCATTCGTAACCATTTTAAGTAAAATAGTTTATCTAATGGTTCAGTAAATCGAAACCGATCGTAACAAATAAAAATCTTAGTAGAAATTTTATATTCTTTATCTTATAGTCAATATGAATTTCTATAAAATGAATAGGTTATCAATCGAACAAATGGTACATATACTTGATTACATGGTACATGTATACCTATACCATGTATATACCTACCTAACTGGTATTCAGTACCATGTATTTTCTCGTCCTCGTCACAGAGAATACCTACACCGAAAAGAGATTCCCATTTCATTCAGATATATAAAGTAAGTATACTAGAGTAGTAAACAACCTTTAAATAAAATATTACGATCGTGGGATACCTAAGAATTCCGCGTTTCCCAACTTGCATCATGTTCCTCTGTTGTAAGATATCCACGGAACTTTTATGCGTCACCGTTTAAACAGAAATTTATTCCTTATGGCAATTAATTGAAGACAGTTCAGTTAGTTATCTACTATATACTAGTGTGTATGTTTTACGTTTAATGGATGTAGGTAACGAAATTATTCATAATTTTCCTTATCTGAGAGGTAAGAAAATTTATAAAATATGATTGAGATATTAAGTATCTACCTACTAGTAGGCAAGTACACGTCATAATTCACATCAAAAATATCGAGAGAGAGAACTCGTCCTGCCATACTATGAAAGAAAAAGTGATATAAGACCCGCGGAATCGCGCACATTTACCCAGTTCATCGCGAGCTTTTGAAGCAACTAGACATAGTAAATTTTAATACCGTTAAATGGCGACTAACCTTCTAAGTTGTGGAATATTGAATAGTGTGGTATCTTACAAACGGAGGATGAGAGTTCAAATTTCGCGCGTTTATTTCCCTGATATACTTCGTTCGTCAATATAACTGCAGTTTTGTGTGAACGTCGGTACGGTGAACGGTGAGAGTGATCTTGGCGTGTTAGTTTATTAAAATTTCGAATTATATATCGAGTTATTCGGTGAAAAATGGGAAAACCCGAAGAAAGCTCTTCAAATGTTTTGATGAATCCTATGGCGATTGCTACAGTAATTATTGGTGTTAGTGTTTTGTTATTAATGTACACTTTGAAACTCTTTCGGCAAGAAGCTGTTGTTGAAAATAAGGAAAAAAGTAAGGATCTATTGTTATTGGATCGATATTAACTGTTCATGCGAATTCGTTGATAACATTAAATTCAGTAATAACCCTGAATAATTCAGTAAAAATCGAAGTAGGAATTTTTGTGGTACTTATTTCATTCCAAGACACGTGTTTCAAATTGTTAGTTTTTAGTTCTAGAAAGAAGGATATAACATTTTATCCATATAGTGGATTCGTATTTATTAAAAAAAAATATTTTACAATGTCTACGAACAACTAGTCGTTTTTGTTTCACATTATTTTTATAACCTCAAACATCAATCTCATCCTGACAAAATGTGTGACCCCTGACAATGAAAAGCTTGATTCGTAATGCGTATTTTTTCTGTAATTTTGCAGATAAAAAATCCTCTACGCAATCTGAAAAAAAGAAAGAGTCTTTACAAGGTGGAAAATCAAAGAAAAAGTCAGCAGACAACCGCTGGGTAGGGAAGAGCGAAAAGCAAGTTTACACTAACTCCTGGTTCTTGTCCTCCTTGAAGGGTCACACTGGCGCTATTCTGGATATGGACTTTAGTAGCAATGGCAAATATTTGACTTCTTGTGGTGACGGTCAGTACCTTTGATTTCAATTTTATAACTAATACCTAACAAGTAAAATGTCAGGATCTTTCGGATAGATTCATGCACCAGATTATGATTCGTGCACAAAGAAATTTTGATAAGTTTAAATATATGTATGAATATTGCAACTGACAAAGATATTTATCCAACTGCTTATGACTTATTTCTTGTTGTGACATATAACTCAAGACTGGTGCATGAATCTATCTTTACTCTTTCCCATATTGAACTTGCTCAATTATTTCTATTATGCTAATACAATATATTGAAATTTTAAGGGTAGATTCAATTGGTGGGGTGTTGTGTACCAACTTTTAGTTAAAAATTGAGTTATATTTATATGAATCTATAAGATGGAGAAGTGAAAACAAAAAGCTTATTTCCTGATAACCAATCTCATAAAAAAATACCCCTCTCAATTCAAACAATTATCAGTTTATGGAGTTCTATCTGACATACCTAATAATTGTGCAACAAAGTTTTTTTTGAGAATAATCATTTATAAAATTCCAAATTGTAATTCCTCTGTATCTTTGTTTTATTTTGTTTGTAAGTTTTTTTTTTCATTCTTAAAAAATTAAATTGTTTTTATAATACAAAGAACTTGTATATTTTTTCACATTCCTCAGTACAAATATGTTTTTACCATTCTGTTAGTTAATTAATTTGGAAGATAATTGTATGTAAAAATAGATTTTGTGTTCTGCAGTAGTAATTGTAAATGACTTATTTTGTGTATTTGGCATGTTTGGCAAAATTAATGTATTATGTTTTATCAAGTAGGCCGCAAAAAACAATTGTTTGAGTATATTGGTGCAAATATAGTGTTTAGTGAACCATGAAAACTTTCTTAATAATGTGTTTTACAAAGTGCTGAGATATTATTTTTGTGTGCAGAAGATCCAGACCCGGGTGGCCTAACAACAGAGAGCAGCAGTTCGAGTGACTGCATCAAAGAAAGTAGCAGAGTATCGTCCAAACTATCTGTAGTACCCAGTTCATGTACCAAGGGACTTTCCCGTAGGCAGAGAAAAAACAGACGCAGAGACGACGCATCACCTTCCGAAAATCAGAAATTGAAGAAGCAGAAAGCTAAAAAAACTCTTGAGCCTGCTCAATTGTTGACCAAGAAACAAGTCATGGCAGTGGTACCTCTCCGCCAGTTTGTCAAATTCAATGCTCCTGAAAGAACATTTGCAGGATTGCTTCACAACTATTTAATTACTTTCGATGAAATGTCCAGTCTGGGATATCCAATAAAACCAAATATAGATCAGAATTCTGTAATAATTTACAAGAATGCTCGCAGTATAAACTTTCCAGTTCATAGTCTAGGATTTGACGTCAATGCTAGGGAGTTCGTCCCCAAGAATGATTGCAATTCAAACGATAGTGGGCAGGGTTCTGGAAGTTCAAGTGATAGTGGTGAAAATTTTGATGGTGAGGATTTAAGTAGTGGCAGTAGTTCAGATCAAGATTCTGCTACCTACTTCAAACAGAATCAAGTGACCGAGCCCCCTCCTGGTGAAAATTATACGATGAGAACCTGTTGCAGATGTAGTAGAATTTTTTATACAAAAGAAGATGAATACATCACAAAAGAAAAATGTTACCACCATTGGGGTAAATTGCATAAATTAAATAATCCAGGCGATAAAAGACATGGTCAATTTGTGTATGAGTGCTGTGAAAGAAAAGTAGGCTCTATGGGTTGTACAGAAGGTCGCCTGCACGTTTGGAATGGACTTGTAAATGGAATAAACGGGTTCTTCTATGATTATGTCTTCACCAAGCCAAGAAGAAATCCCCCAGCAGATGGGAATTACGGTGTTTATGCATTGGACTGTGAAATGTGTTACACTGTTAGAGGGCTGGAAGTAACGAAAGTCACAGTAGTGGGTGTTGATGGACGATTAGTGTATGATTCCTATGTTAAACCTGAGCGGGAAATAGTAGACTATAACACCCGTTTTTCTGGTATAACAGCCAAAGAAATGAAACAAGGTGCCCCTAAAAACATTCGTGAAGTGCAAAATGATTTGATGGGTTTCATCAATGCTGACACAATTTTAATTGGTCACGGATTAGAAAACGACTTGAGAGCTCTGAAGATAGTTCACTACATCATCGTGGATACTGCACATGCATTTCCCCATTTTAAAGGACCTCCGTATCGTCGATCACTGAAAAATTTGACTTCGACTATTTTGAAACGTGAAATACAGTGTAGTGCAAATGGTCACAATAGTTACGAAGATGCTAGCGCTTGCATGGAGCTTATGTTGTGGCGGGTAAGAAGAGACTTCCGAAGTTATCTATCACATCATTAATAGGTTGTGAGTTCATCCCATCGTGCTTTATTTATTAAAACGCCCTTCATTGTCATTGTCACCTTCCTTCATTCAAAATGTGATGATATATACAAAGATATTCCTATTTTCAAAATAGATGTCTTAAGTGTTCCTTTTTTTGACTCTTTTGTGAAACAGTGATATAATGCATTTGAATCTCAGATTTTACTTGTAGTTTCAAGAGTGATTTCCGTGAGATTTTCTTGTGATTGAAAAAAAATTAGAATAAGTTTCATTTGAATGACTTCAGTTTTACAAAAACCATCCTGCATCTGTAGGAAGCTTTTCTGATTTTACACTATGTTAATTTTAATTTTTGACAGAGACACTTAAGAGACTGCCATTTTCAACATAGTGTTAAATTTTTCACTTAATCTCAAAAATATTGAACAATTGATAAAGACTGCATTCCCTTTCTTTCTACGATTTGTTCCACTTTCTTTCTACGATTTGTTCATTTTTCAAAAAGTTTTATGTTCATGAAGCTGTTTTTTTAACTTCTGTGATGGTTTATGTAAAAAGTAATAACTTGGTTATCATTTGCTTCTGATAATCAGTGTTGTAAACAATTTTGATTTCACAATCCAATATTTGCAATTCGAAGAGTATAGATGTACTCAGCTGATGCAATGATATTCTTCTTTTGTAATAATTACATAGGAATCTATTTTTTATTACTTTTGTAACGTCTACATAAGGATTGCCACAATTTCTTCATGAATATTGTCAAGCAGAAAGTTTTTAGAAATTGCTGGTAGAAGAACTTTTTGACACTTTCACTTTTCACAAAGTATAACTTATAGTTGGTATTTGCTGTTACCTCAACAAGTTAATACAATAAATCTCAGAGTACTTCTTTCTTAACTACAAGTTTTTTTTTGATTAAAAGTTTTCTTCTATCAGTCTTGCGTTAAGTGATCAGTTTGAACATACAGTGAGTTATTTTTCAGAATTAAAGTGTTTGGCACCATTAGTAAACTTTAAAATTCACTTGTGCTGCAAAATTAGAGTAGTTTTTATCCACCTCTACCAAGTGTTCAGTTGTTCATGTTGTTTTTCACAAATTGGTATTGAATGGCTGTGTTTGAGGGTGGATATTGTTGTTTCTTGAAAGGATTTTAAACAATAAGACAATTGTGTAATTGTATTCATTAATATGGTGCCGTCCAAACAAGACTGTATATGTTTCCTGGTCTATTTCTTCAGAAAATGTCCCAGTTCGGGGTGTTTTCGATTTTTGTTGAACCCCTTTTGCCTATTAAGTATTACCTTTCGTTATGTTACTTTACTGTACCAGTAACTGATGAAGCTACAGGGTAGCAAAACACATCTTAAATAAAATTTATGTTGAAAATTATGTACCTGATTATTATCATGTTATTGATTTTCATTAAGTAAGGGGTTAGACTGTTCATAACTTTATTAATGAGTAGAAAGGCTATAGGTTTTTTCCAGCTTGTTTCTGATACAAGAATAATTTTATCAAATTGTCACTCCTGTGATATAAAAATTTGCTTTTATATTGAAAAATTAAATGATGGGAATGTGAGTAATGTATATTTTTGTTGGGATACTTAATATGAATGTATCAAATATCCAGAAAGCTGTATACAGGGTGTTTCAAATTCGATCCTCACTATTGGGATCTCGGAAATTATGAGACTAACAATATGCCATTGAGAAAGTTTGGACAATGGATTTATTTTTTTCTGGCTATATTTTTCGAAGGATTCGGAAATAAATTGCACTTTCACATTGCCACTTTTTCCCTGCTACATAATGGTGTTTTCAGATTTGCTATCCGACGTTTCGTCTTCCGGCCACCATCATCAACTTTATTTTTTCTTATGGGCGCTACATTGGATTCTTTCTGTTTTAAATAGAACCAAATTTTACCTTTTCAATGATGTATCATAAATTATCATTCTTTTTCGAAATATTGGAGATTTTGAAAAAAATTTATTCCTATTATAATAGGCTTTGATTTTGATGTTTCTAAATTTGACTTTAAATAACATTTTGTTATTGTACAAGTCATTGAATTTTTGGCGAAAAATGGCTTTCACGAATGAAGAAAAAAGAAATATGATACAAATTTATTACAAATACGATAGAAACAGTGTTAGGACATCGGAAATGTATTTAAACTTGTATCCTGGAAGACGACAACCACAACGAACTATGTTCAAGTTATTGGATCATAATAATTTGCAGATAAACATGAACCCAGGGAAATCTACACGTCAAATTTCCTCCAAAATGAATATTTGTCATACAAGTACTTACTTGGAGACATCTAAAAAAAGCGGTTTGAAATGTTACAAAATACACATATCTCAAAAATTACATCCAGGTGATCCTGAAAGGCAATCAGAATTTTGTAATTGGGTAATGAAAGGACCTGATATTCCTGTTTTCCTGGAAAATGTCATTTGGACAGATGAAAGCACTTTGACGAATTGTGGGTTAATTGTGGGAATTGTGGGCAGGAATTTAAAAAGATAGAACTTTGAGTCCTCATTTATTTGACGGAATTCTTAATGGAGAAACCTATCACCAGTTTTTAATGTCGATTTTCAAAGACTATTTGGATGATCTACCTTTGGCTAACTATAACATCTGGTTTCAACATGATTCACCCTGCTTTCTGAATTTGAGTTTTCAATAAAAAATTATTCCTCCGCTTGATGTACACACTTCGTGTTCACATGGACAAGAATCCCTACTAAGTTCTGGTTTCCCAACTCTGTTTATATTCAACTTCACCAGAAAATGATTTCATAATTCGCATGATTCCACTGCAGTGGAAATGTATTTTCCAATGGATGTTATTGAAGTTATTTTAGATTAGATCAAAAAAACATAACTTCCCAAAGTTTGTTGAATAGAGAATAGGAAGATCTTTAAAAAAATTATGTCATTCGATATTGATTCTCGGGTTGGGTAGACCTGGTCAGTGACGAAACCAAACGAAAACATTCTTTTAATCATTGGGGATGACAGTGTTCCATGTAGGTGAAATTTTACCTTTTTCCTGTACTATGTTGTTTAGCAATCCTGTTAATGATATCTGCTTCACGTCCATAACGAATGTTTGGAATACAAACCGAATGGGAAAAAGTATTTTTTGTATAAATTAATGTTCATATGAAAGCAGTTGTTTCGAAAGTATTTTTTCTTATGCCTGATTCAATGTTTATATGAAAGTAGTTGTTTCACAAGGGTTTTTTCTTTGATGTGTGTCTTAAAGTTACTTCTTTACATGATCTACACATCTTTGTAACCAGTTTATTTTTTTTAACTTATTCGTTTCTTCCTTCCTTTGGAAATTCCCACATTTTTTATAGAAAGATGGAGAAGTAGAAAATGTCAAAGTTTTGTTATTAACTCTCTCTTGACAACACGAACTTGATTGACGAAAGCTTTGCTATATTTCCCATGGTCCTCCATAATATTCCATATTTTACTTGAAAAGAAAATCACTAATAGCAACGCTCAATTTTTCATCTTCCTGTCAAGAAAACATTTGGTACTTGATTTATTAAATACTTTCATATTCATTTATGCGAATATTCCTTGCGAACCGAATCTCTCTATTAATTATTGAGAATTAGATTCAGAAAGTTGAAATTATTGTTGAAGGAAGCAAAAACTATCACATTAACTCAAATATGAATAATTTGTCAAACATATACTTTCTAAAATTTTAGTTACTGAAATCTGGTTAACATTACGGATGAGTGTTAACATTACGTTTGTTTATTGTTTCTTTTTCAATAGATAAGTAAACAAAATCAATTTATAAATAATGGAATTGTTGTCGCCACTCAAGGAATTTAACGAAAAGTGCATGTCTCTTCCAAAGATAAAATACAATAGGTATATGAAAATGAAGAGATGAAAAAAATGAGTACTTCTTCAATGAGTAAATAATTGAATAGAATTAGGATTTAATTACATTAAATCACCCGAGAAATAACCATTGTTAATTATTTGATATGATTGATTATATAACGGGTGTCGCAACAATTGGCTTGATGTATCGATAATGCTGATATACAGGGATTCAAATTTGAGTTTATGCAGCGAGATCTCGTAAATGATAAGAGATTTAAATCGTGGCAACATTTTCAATATTCGAGTACTTTCGAATGTTTTTGGTTCCAGAGATATTGAAGAATCGAAAATTGGGAAATTCTATATTTTGCGGTATCATCTTCATTTGCAGAGATATAGGAAATATGTTGATACTTTGGATACTTTAAACTTTTATTCGAGTGTCAGAATATTATCATAGAACTTTTATGGAGGGTGTCATCCGATTTGGAACTCCTTCAATTTTGAACAGGGACCTATTTTTTTTTTTTAGATAATATTTTGATCGGTTATGTTCCTATAATATTATTTCGATGTTCTCCATATTTTCTGTAATTCAATGGATTCGAAATTAATTATTATTTTGTATTATGACTTTGATAATCGCTCGAATTGAAGCAATTCTTATAATCTCTACCAAAACTTATTTGTGAAAACACATTTCAGATAAATTGGAAGGGGTATATTTTTAGGAGAGAATAATAAGATGTATACATCTTCCTGGGAAAAAATATTGAGAGTTCAAATCGACATCCTGTATATACAACCATGATGCCTTATACCCCACAATTGTGAGAAATGTAAACGTCAGTTATCGTTCCAAGAAGAAGTTAACTTGTTTGGCACACTCGTAAATTTTCAAGTCTCGTGAAATAATCTTTCAAACCGAGCTAAATGGCATCTTGCGCTTATTGAAAAAAATAACATCAAAAACAAACAAACTACTTACCTACCATACGTCACAAAAATTTTTAAAAATCATGTAAATTCATCATCGAATGGGGTGAAAACCGTTAAAAATAGTGGGTCCATAAAAAATTTTAAAAATGTATAGAAAAGGTAAAAATCAGCAATACTCAAAAGTGACAAGTTTGTAATCTTAGGTATTTCTTCTCAGATTTATAATAAGGAAATGAAGGATGTTGAATACATTCTAAATTCACCTACGGTGACTGAATATGTCGAATTTCCAGGACGAAAATGAGTTTAAAAAATCAGTAAAAGTACTAATTGTATTCAAATTTTTTTTTATACAACTCAACTTTTCCCTCAAGTGATAAATAATGGCATCATAAATCAACTCCCATGAAACCTTGAGTTAATGGATTAGGTTCAATAACTCAATGCATTCATAAGATTATTCCTAAGATTAAGATTAATTTTTGAACGGGTTTGACTTTACGACGATATCTTGTAGTAATCTGCAGTGAAAAACTCTCGTGAACTTCATTTGTTTCTTTGTATATTCAGTGATAGATCCAAATGTTTGCTGTAATTCATTTCTGAAAGGTACACTCGTTGTAGAGGTTGGGGTACCTACTGATCCTTTT